CTGGCTGCTGTGTGATGGGCTGCTGTTGGATTTTTCTGTAGAAAATAAATAGTCCTTCAAGAGGAGGGGATATTGTTGTTGTTATTATTATTATTAATAATGATGATGATAATATAATAATAGTAGTAGTGATTGATGATGATGATGATGATGATGATGATGATGATGATAATGATAATGATAATGATAATGATGATGATGATGATGATGATGATAATAATAATAATAATAATAATAATAATAATAATAATAATAATAATAATAATAATAATAATAATAATAATAATAATAATAATAATAATAATAATAATAATAATAATATTCCCAGGCTATCAGAGTCACCGAGTTAGCCCTGCCTAATCCAGTACAGCTGTTTCCTGTGCACTCAACAACAGGTCTGACGCTCTGCCGTCCTCCCAGCCAGTTTATTTAAATAGGTAAGATCCGGATTTCCGGAGCGAAACAAACAGCGCCAGGCGCCTGGACCACTCCAGCCCTGCACTCCCTGCACCCCGGCAGTGCCTCTGAGCCTTCGGTCCCTTTTGGGGTCCCATCTGCCACCATGACAGGGCAGGGACAGCTGGAAAAGGCACTTGTAGAGGTGTTGCCAGTGGCCAGTTTTATTCCTTTATTCCAGTGCCGGGAGAGGGCCAAGGACAATTTGTCCCTTTGTCCCAAAAGACCTCATTTTCCTGGCTGGAGTCTCTCAAGCATTTGCCTGGGACACCTGAGGATCAGACCTCTCCTTTCCATCAGTGGGATGCTAAGTGCATGTGCCCCTGACACTGCTCTGCAAACCCTGGCACTGTGTGCCCCAGGGGAGCAGAAATGCCCTAATTCAGTCTATCTGGGATGGGTCAGAAGGACAAATAGCAACTGTGAGAAAAGGCGAGTAGCCAGGCTGGTTGAGTTTGCCAGAAGGCAGGCTGGGAGTGTCAGCATGGGTTAAGACAGACTGTCAGGTTTTGCTGAGTTTTCGGAACTGTTTTGAAGGGTTAGATTAAATGTGAATGGATATTAACCTTTCCCTTGCAAAACAGTTCAGTTAACAACAGGGGCTAGTTGCTTCCTTTTAACTGATGTTCAACATTTGACCAGCCAGAAAGCAGGCTTGAAAACTGGGTCTCTCCGAGATGCCTGGTTGGGTCTGGCGAAGGCACATGGGGCAAACTCCCTGGGATTTCTGAATGTCCTTGTGTGGGAGGTGTCATCCAGGATGGACAGACGGGTGTGCTGTGCTCGGGCACGGCCACCTTCCTCGTGGAGGGGTTCGGTCAGACCAGCGAGGGCTGTCCTGCCAGGGCTCCCCTCGCCCCACCATCCCCGACCCCACCGTGGCAAGCGTCGCCGTTCCCACAGCTCATCCCTTTGGCTCTTCTCAGAACGGCCGTTTGGTGCTGCGAATATTCTCTGGTGCTGATTGCAGGCATTTCGGGTGCTGTTATGTGACGTGGCGATGTCCTGACACCATGCACCCGTGCAGTGCCTGTCCTGGCGTTGTACTGATCCCCCCACCACAGCGCCGCCAGCCCCAGTGCAGGCAGCTGAAGGAACCTCTTCCTCCGTTTTGTGGGATTTGGTTGGGGCTCACTTGACTCCCTGGGGTGGGTCAAGCTGCCACCACCGCCCCGCTGTCCCCAGGCCCGATGGCCCCAGTGGCACCATTACTGCTCCCTGACAGAGCTGGTGCACACAGTGACCCTGCTCAGCATGAGCCCAGCCTGAGCCAGGGCCCCTTCCAGTGCTGCCCCTGGGGTGGCACCCATGGGTGGGCAGTTCCCAGCGACTTTTTATTTTTTCCTTTCTTTATTTTCCTTTCCCTTTCCCATTCTTTTCCTTCTTCTTTTTTCCTTTTTCTTTTCCTTTTCCTTTTCCTTTTCCTTTTCCTTTTCATTTTCCTTTTCCTTTTCCTTTTCCTTTTCCTTTTCCTTTTCCTTTTCCTTTTCCTTTTCCTTTTCCTTTTCCTTTTCCTTTTCCTTTTCCTTTTCCTTTTCCTTTTCCTTTTCCTTTTCCTTTTCCTTTTCCTTTTCCTTTTCCTTTTCCTTATTTTCCTTTCCTTTTCCTTTTTCCTTTTTTCCTTTTGATTTTTTCCTTTATTTTCCTTTCCCTATCTTTTCCTTCTTTTTTCCTTTTCCTTCTTTTTTCCTTTTCCTTCCTCTTTTTTCCTTTTCCTTTTCCTTTTCCTTTTCATTTTCCTTTTCTTTTTCCTTTTCTTTTTCCTTTTCCTTTCCGTCTCCTTTTTCTTTTTTTCCTTTTTATTTTTTCATCTTTTCCTTTTCCTTTTCCTTCTTTTCTTTTTCCTTTTCTTTTTCCTTTTCTTTTTCCTTTTCCTTTCCTTTTCCTTTTTCCTTTTTTCCTTTTTATTTTTTCCTTTTTTCCTTTTCCTCTTCCTTTTCCATGTCCCTTCCCTTTCCCTTTTTCTTTCACTTTGTTTTCTATTTTTCTCTTTTTCTTATTCTCATCCTCTCCTAGCTTTTCACATTATTGAGCTGTGCTCTCTTTGGAGTTCATGCCCATCAGACATCCTGTCTAATGCTGCTCATAAGGATTCATAGCCCTTCGGCAGATGTATCGCCGTGCCCCCATGCACAGACACTCTGGCTTATGTTGCGATAGTGAAGCCTTGTCACCTTTATACCAGAATACAAAGATAAGCTGTAGTTGGACCATAAAATGCAGGGTTGTTTGCTGGGATGATGGTGAGCTTCCCTGGGCTGGTGGCCAGGCAGGGCAGCCAGGACAGGTCCTTTGGGCTTTAAGGCTGTGGAACCACCTCGTCATCCACGACCGGGAACGCCAGGGCAGCACGGATGTGTGCCCGCTGGGGCAGGTGACTCCCCGTCCTGGCGGGCTGGCTTTGCATCGCCACGAGTTAGGAAAGAAGAGCTGAGTTTGAGCAAATGTGAGTAAGAGCAGGTCCAAACCTGGCATTGTCTCGTTTGCAGGGAGAACCAAAATCAGCAGATTTGGGGGGGCCTGAGCACTTTGCCGGTGACTGCAGAGGTGACAGAGGTGACCGGTCCTCACCCGCCGCCCCCCTCCTGGCAATCAGGGCTCGCAGGGCAGGCCGGGTTACCAGCCGTTTGGTCCCTGGGGTGAGTGCCGGCGCAAGCGGCCGGTGCCGGGGGCGGCTGCGGCGGGAGGGGAGCGATTCGCACCTCCAGGTGGGAGATGAAAGAGCTGCTGGCGCTTGGAGATGAAAGAGCCAGTGGGGCCGTGGCGCGGGGCAAGGACGGGAGGTGAGGGGAAGCCCCAAGAGTTGTTTTTCTTCTCATCTCTGCCGCGCAGCGGGACGGCGGCAGCCAACGCCGGGCTTTCCCAGGGCTGCAGCGGAGCAGGGCCCCGTGCTGAGCACCACGCCGCAGCACCGCGGTCCCCAGCCGGCCCCTGGATGCTGAGCATCCGTCAGGACCTTGCGTGGGGGAAGGGAGGCTCTGGGGGTGTTTGCCAAGGGAGAGGGGATGTGGCCGGGGTGGTTTTGCAAGGAGACAGCCGTGCCGCGCCCGGCCCTGCCTGCGACTGCGCCAGCTGCTCGGCATCGTCCCTGTCACCCAGCATCAGGTGCCATCGTGCAGTGGTGACACGGCAGTGACACAGCCTTGGGCAAAGTCTCCATCTCTGGTTTGCGCATGGTGAGGCTGGGGACAAGACTTGGTGGCTTGTCTGAGATTGGCAGGGAAATGGCAAACCTCGGTGTCCCTAGTCCCTGGGACTCCTGTCCCCAAGCAAGAGCGTTCCCTTGTCACACCATCACAGTGTGGCATGCAGTGGAAGCCCAGCATGACCAGTGCCCTGCCCTGTGCTGTGCCGCGCTCCCCCTTGCACACCATGCTCCCTTTAGCTCAGCGCTGGGGTTTTGGGGGGTCTGTGAGTCAGGCAGGTCTTTCAATGCCTCCTCTGCCATCTCCACTGAGACTCTGTAATTCAGCAGGGCACAGGCAGCACCGAGGCAGGTCCCCTTTTGTCATGGGGGGATAATAATCGCTCATTAGCCTCTCCTTTGACCAAGAATAAAGCTGGAGAGCAGGAATCCTGAGGGCAGTCAGAGTCACCATGAGGCAAGCGGGTGTCTCCCAGGCTGCTGAAGATGCCTCTGCTTCAGAGGTCCCTGTAACCTTCTGCATTGGTGCAGTTTGTCCCCAATGGCTCATGCAGAACAGTGAGAGCAGAGGCCTGTGCTCTGGTAGAAGGACACCCACACCTTCCCCAGAAAGCCTGGGACTTAGAGTTTTGGACTTTAACTTGCCTTGGACTTCGAGGTTGAGCCTCCAAGACCAAATGGCAAGCTGCTTCCCCCCAGAGACTACCCAGGTATCTGATGAAGGCCCATTTTTCATTTCTATGTATCAGGCCTGTGCAACGGCCTCGGTGTTGCTTTGAGGACCCTCAACCCTGCAGGTACCTGTAACATGGGGCTGGGCAGGAGAAGCTTCCACTCAGCTGCTCCTTCCAGCTCTCCCTCCCAGGGCAAATGCCATTCTGCTCACTCTGGGATGCTCAGGCAGAGCTCAGAGAGTTTTGTCCTCCAGCCCTGGCTCTGTGCATCCCAGAGCTCTGCCAGTCTGCAAGACCTCCTGGCAGGTTGACAGTGGCCAGAGGCCCCGACCGGCTACAGCCACAAGCAAAGGCCAGTGAGGAGAAGAGCACTGAGCCCCTGTCGTGGCACGTGGGGACCAGCAAGGCTTCAGGGACCCACAAAGACCGTTGAGTGAGGATGCTGATGAAGCCAAAGAGGTCTCCGGCTTGGTGTCTGCATGACCTGGACTGCAATGCATTTATCACTGCCTGGACTGAACTGAAAAATGAAGGGGAGAGGGGGGAGATCACTTGTTTCAGCTTAGAATGTTGCATTTTAAGTTAATTTTCATTGCCTCACTTGGATGGTTCTGAACCTCTTTGAAATTGGGTTTAGGAAGACCTCAGGTAGGGGAAGCAGAAAATCCAGACTCGTCCTCTAAACTCATCTCTCCACTTGTGTCTTCTGGCTGGTCTCCCGGCAGGTCTGGGGCTGGTGCCCACCCCGGGGACAAGCGTGCACGCTCGGACAACGCTGCGCATCTCCCACACTGGACCCGAGTGCACTGGATGTGTGGAGCTGGGGAGAAGCTCCGAGGAGCCAGGCTGGGCTGAAGGCACTGGGCAAACCCTCCTGGCCGCTCCTCTCCCACAGCTGCAGCAAGTTTGACAGTGCTCTGCCTGCCTCTCGCCGGAGAGCACCAACCTCTGCAGGACCTATGGGATTCAGATGGCACTGGGAAGCCCAGGGACAGCGGCCAAGGGGACAAGGGTCCCAACTCAGCTCCGCGCTTCTCCTCTGCACCAGCTCTCCCTCCTCCTGCTTCATTCGCCCCAGCTGCTGGGTAAGGATTGCTTCTCACCTTGCACAAAACTTAACTCTCATGGCCTTGGTTTGGTTTGTGACTCAAAGGTACTTCTGAACTACGGACAGGCGGTTGTAACTCGCCCCCGTGGTCATGTCCATGACAGGGACACTTGTGCAGGGGTGCTGCTGCGGTCAGTGCCAGCGCTGGCTTTGCCCTCACTGCCGCAAGCGCCGAGGCATCTGTGTCAGACAACAAACTAAACCTACTGCTGGGTTTCCCATTCTGTCTTCTGGACACCAAGAGTGAACTAAGAGTTTTTTGAAACCGACCCAGAAGTGCACTGGGAGACAGCCTGTGTTTATCATGCTTCTGCTTCCCCCTGAATTCCAGTCCTCTGACATGTTTAGATCAAACCTGATGACCCAAATCTGACTGCTGCAACTGAGAAGAAAAGTGACCTTATGAAAAGAGCAGACCAGAAGAGCAGCCACATGTGCTTCAGGCCACCCTGGGCCACTGCACCCAGCCCCTCCATGGAGAGAAGCAGTCAGGCATCACTGAAACATTTCACCGGTTTTAATTCAATTACTTTGCAAAACAGAATGTGGCACCAATGACACCTTCAGAGCATCCCATGGCAGCGGAACAACTCTGGAAGCTGTTGCCAGCAAGCTGTGCAGAACAGCTTAGTGGGATCAGGCCAGGATCTAATAAACATGTGCATGCAATGTAAAAACCACCTGCTTCTGTAATGATACCTGCTGACAAAGCTGACAGAGCAGAAGGTCACCCCATCCCTGCCCCACACCAGGACACTGGGAATGGGCCAGAAGCTAGTTGAGTGACCTGGAAAAGTCTCCCAGCCCTTAGAGACAGGCAGGTTGTGGGCTCAGGAATGGAGCTGCCTTCACAGCTGACTGCAGGTGGAGGCAGAGAGGGAAGGAATCAGTAGAGGACCAGGGGTAAGGAAAAAACTGGGCATGCATCCCTTCTTCCTCCTGCTTTCCTCATTAGAAGCATGGAGCTGGTCAAGGCTGCAAGGCAACAAGTGAATCTGGAATTTGTGGGGTCTTTCAGCCAGGTGGGAAGGCAAGGATGTGTGCCCAGGTTTGAGACTCTTCAGGCATTTAGTATCCACTGTGGTCCTGGGCACCTCTCAAGCCCACTTCCCCAAGTTGTCAGAGGTCTCCAGCCAAAAATGGGGCAGGGCAAGTATTTTTAAAGTAAAGAAACCAAGAAAACTCTTTTCGTTTCAAGATGTCTCCTCTAGCCCCTTCTTTATCTCAACATCAAGCAGCCGCAATAGACAGAAGCTCAAATTGCCACCCCCAGACAGGTCTCATTCAATTAAAAGCTGGAGCAAGGAGGATGTTACTCTAACTGTTCATCTTGGGTGATGTCTGTCAACATCTGGGGCAGGGAGATGTGGTCTACAGTGATGCACATGCTATCCCTGCTGCTGCCATATTTCTCAGTGAGGCCATCGCCTGCCGTGCTCAGTGCTCTTAAAATCTGGCTGCTCTAGATGCTGACCCGGGGCCCCAGGTGTTGTGCAGATGGGTTTCTCCATGGCCCAGTGATACTTTCCCAGCCTCACTTCCCACCTTTCAGCGTAGCCTGAAGAGGAGTGCAAGTTTCAGATCTTGCAAATCCTGACGTGCTTTGGTCAGTGGTGTGGGAAGAACCAGCCTGAGCACTGCAGGCTGCTTAGGGCGAGCCTGGGGTGAGCTAAGGCGGCTCCAGTGGCTGGAGGGTCTGCCAGCCTGGGCACGCCTGTCTAGGGGACAGCCAGGACAGCATGCCTTGGTGGGGAAGGGCTCCCTGCAGCATAAACCCCTGGGGATGGAGTCTCTCTTGCACCCCTACCCACAGCCCCATCCATCCCTCCCAGGGGGACACAGGCAAGGGGGACCCCTGCCATCTCGGGGTCTGGAAGAAGAAGCCCTTACTCCAGGGGTGCTTCCCCTGCTCCACTCCACTGGGGCTGTGTGCCTCGTGGGCCCCCCACTCACGGAGCCCCTTCCAACCCCCGGAGCATCCGTCGGGGCTGGGCAGGGTCTGTGCGGAGCCAGCAGGGATGGCTGGCCCCAGAGCCCCCACTGTTTGTGGGGTTGGTTTTTTTTCTGCTCCTGGGAACCAAGCATCAGCTTTTGTTGGCGAACAGACCATAGCTTTCATGTGAAAAGGTTAGTACAGTATGTTAGTTCCTAATGAGGGGATAATAGAGTCTGATTCTCACACCCCAGGGACTGTGAGGTGACAGCAGCACGGGAGAAGGGTATTTAACACCTTCGCCCTGGGAACTTTTTCCCTTCACAGCCGGAGTCCCCCGGCTTTGCCAAGAGCAGGGAGGAGGAAGAGCGTGGTGCAGAGCCTTTGTCCCCATTTCCCTCTCACACCCCAACCCCATCCCATCGGCACATGCATCCTTGCAGCAGGGGCAGCTGATGGAAGACCCTGGGAAACAGTTGGCCAGTAAATCACCAGTTGACCCCCTCCATCACCAGCTCACGATGTCAAAATCACCCCAGCTGTGGGCACCACAGGGAGGCTGTGGGGAGGATGTGGTCCCTGGGGCCGGGTGTGCGGGGAGGTGGGGGTGAGTGCCCTTGGTGTGTGCGCTGCTCGGATGATGGGTGCCCTCAGTCTGTGTCCCCGTGTCTGTCACTTCCCTCGCTGCCTTGCAGCTGGGTCTGTGCCAGGACAGGGGTTCACAGTGCCACCCGGGGAATCCTCTGTGGACCGTCATTCCATAGCAGCCGTGTCCTGCAAAGCCCAAAGATTGCAGCACAGCTCCAGGTGCTGCACGGGGAGGATTTAAGGGCTCCACTGCCCTGCCTTGCTTTTCCTAGAAAAATCAAGATTCTTTCCTAAATCCAGCCTCCCACCCCATCCTGCTGCAGTGGCTTAGGAGGGGGACAAGCCCTGCGAGCTCTTGGCACCTAGGGACAGCCCTGCACATGGCTGTGGCCCCCTCCAGGGCTGTCAGCCATCCGCAGCCACGTGCCTTCGCAGCGGGGTACCAGATACAGGTCAGCGTTTCCTCATCCAGTGAGGGCAGCCCAGATGCCAGGGTGAGGTTTCACAGGGGCAATCACCTGCCCTGTGGCAGGAACTGCAGTGCCAGAGGCATGGGACAGGAGCCTCCTCGAGGAGCACACTGCTGCTTTTATAACTGTGGGGACCTGAGCTGGATTAAACACTCGGCTGCTGTATTTATTGAGGAAGTTCAATTCAGACTGCCTGTGCGGGAAGCTGGAATGCCCTCGGAGCAGGAGAGACCAGTTTTGCCAAATTCCACCAACCACCGGATGCCAAATTACAAGTGTCATCACCTGGGCTGTCACTGCACTAGGAGCCTTTCAGGGCATGACACCTTCCCAATGCTTAGAAATCTTAGAAATGACAGATTTTTGTAGTAACCCTTTCCTGGGTGACCTGTTTCTTACACAGAGGTTGCAGGTGGGAAACCACCAGCTTCCAAGTCCCCAGCAAGCCAGAGCTGCCTGTCCTTGGTTTGCTGCTCCCACTGGGTCATGCTCAGGTGGGATGAGGGATGCTGCAAAACAGCAGCTGCGCAACATCCTGCAAAACAGCAGCTGAGTGACATCAGTGCCAGCAGCTCAGCACCACCACGTTCCCCCTGCAAGGCTGAGTCAGACACGAGAGCATCAGGGGTGGGGTTTTGGGGGGAGTCTGATCTGTGCCTGCTAGAAACAAGGTGCTGATGAATTACTGCAGCTGTGGGGAGGGCTGGCTCCTGTGTGCCCACGGGGCTTTGCCAGCTTGCCAGCGCCATACCCATCCTGGGCATCCAGGTGACCTGCAGGGGAATCTTTAAGCCGCCTTGCCCTTGTCTGCTGACTTACACCCCTCCTCACTCCTGGCAGCACCTGGCTTCATCACTGGGTTCTTCTGTGCTCTTTTATTTCTCCTTCATACTTTAAAATATCAGGATGCCAATTCCAGCCTCACTGGATTTTCAGACAGCATCACTTGAAGGATGCGTGCTCTGGTTCCTGCGTCTCGGTTTGAGGTGACACGAAGCCAGTGGCAATGCCTCGCTGTCCTCCCCAGTGGTGCACGGTCCCGCAGGCACACTGGGTGAGCAGCAAACCCCTCTCAGGGGTTCAGGGCTAAGCTCCAGGCTGCTCATGGGGACAGGCTGTCATCTGCTTCCCAGAAAACCCAGAGGAAAACAAAGGGTGGGATTGTGGAAGGAAGTGGACTTTGAGTTGGATCTTTCTCCAGGGACCTCTACATCCCAGGCTGGTCACCTACCCCAGCCTGCTGACCTTTTCTGGGTCAACTGAAAGTGTGGGAGCACCTCTGCTTCCCTGGGGGGACAGGAAAGGGGCCCGAGCCCAATATTGCCTGCCCAGGTGTGAAAAAGGCTGAGGGGGATGAGATGGGGCAGGTTGGGAAAGCAGTTACTTAAGACCAACTGAGACGTCACAGCAAGGTGTCATGATGGTCAGTGCCTATGGGTCAGCATCACAAAGCTCCCAAAGAATGGGAATCCAACATTTTGCTTGTCCATTGGGTTATTTTTAAATGTCATCACCTCTGGAGTGGGGGAGCCAAACCGTGATCCAGGTCTGGGGAGGAGAACCAGTGGCCCCAGAGACTGGCCGTGAGCATGATGAAGTTTGGAAAGAATTTGCTGCTTTACTGAAATAGGAGCTCTGAGGATCAAAACCCTAGCAGGTCTGATGACAGAGCTTGTGGGCTGTGCTATATGGCTGCTGTGAGGCATGACGTTAAATATTTGTAGGACAGAGGGTTGGAGAGGCACTGACCTTGCCTAAGGTGCTGCACAGACACATATGGGCAAGGCAGAGTCATGGTCCCCCTTCATCAGTGGGCAATTCTGGATTGCAAAGGCTGGATCTGGGGCTATCACAGAGCAGCTCCTGCCTGGCTCTCCTGTGCATCAGGCTGATGCTGCTTCTTGCTTCTCCAGACCGTGCTCCCACAGCTGCTGCCCCCGAGGGCACAGGATCTCCCAGGGCCCACGCTGGAGCGGGGAGAAGTGC